TGCTTAGATTCACACCAAAGTTACATAAATGGGGCTTCGCGAGGAGCCGAATAACAAATTAGGACGAAATAACAGACTACGCTTTAAGGCGATGAAGCGATGAGGTGTGTCTTGTCAACCGACCTTAACCAATGGCTTATCCAGAGTGGCAGTGGGTGGGGATGGGATGGGGCTATGCCCCCTGTCCCCTGGGGCGAAGGGGCAACAAAATATGGTGTAAGGGCAGCAGAATCGTCAGTTCAGATCCACATATCCTTCATTTTCAAAAGACCCCAAAATTTCACGGGCAATACAAATTAACACAAATATTTATTTTCGACAGGCAATGAAATCCGGGCACGCGATAACCAGCCCAAAACCTTCATTCTCTACGGGCACCAAATTTCAGGGCTACAGCATTGTCGTGCCTCCCACACTGACGGAAGTCCTGGATTGACCCCTTGGGCTAGGGGACACCAAAATGGTCAGTTTGGGGCACCATAGCTTTCATTTCGCGGCGCCATAACCTTTATTTTAAAGGGCCCCTCTCTCTAAGTCGGCAATTTATTTTTCCAAAAGCTTTGGTTTTAAACAGGGTTCAAAATCCATGGACATCGCGATGTCTACGCCTGTCACCCTTGCAAAATTCTCAATCTGCCTGTTCCACGAGGAGCACCACTTATTACCGGGCATCTAAGCTTTTTTTCGGAGGCACTTTTCCACAGGCACTCACTTCCTGAGGCACCGCAAAGCAAGGGTGGGTCCAGAGGGGGAGGGGCCATGGGGTCATTCCTCTCCCCCTTGGGCCCAAGGAGGTTTGGATGCCCTGGAAATGACCAAATCTCAACGCAAAGGGGCAACAATACCTTTATTTCGCATCAACCTAACCTATATGTTTATGATACACCGAATTGCAGGGGCGCGACGTCCGTGCCGTGGCCTCGACGAAAACTTGCGTCGGCCCTTGCGGTGAAGGAGCACCAAATCCTTCATTTCGGGGCAACATATCCTTTCTTTTCAAGAAGCACCCAATTCCAGAAAATACCAGAAAGCCTCAACCCTTTATTCTGAAAGAGCAATTAATCGCAGGGGCATAACTATGCTGAGCTTTCCGCCCTGATAAAATCCTGGATCGAACCCTTGAGCAAGGGGGCACAAAACCGCCCTCGCGGGGCGACATTATCTTGATTGTCAAGGGGTACTAAATCAAAGCGGGCCATTTACAAAGCCCAAAACCATAATTTTAAATAAGCACCAAGGTTCAGCGGCAATACAATCGGTGTGCCTCTCACTTTGGAAAACAATTATGAATCGGACCGTTCGGGGAAGGGACACCCTGTTCAGGAAAACAGGCACAGGCCTCCGTTTTTATTGGGGCTTTACGACGAGTCATCGCAGTGCCCGTGCTTCTCCATTAATAAAACCCTGCATCGGCCCATTCGGCCAAGTGACGCCTTTCCTTCGGAACCTCACTGCAGTTGTTTCCTTGAGCCACCAAATGCAAGTGGCGATTGAAAGAAGAACTGAAGGTGGTCCAAAACTTCCCTTTCAAGGGGCACCGAAATACAGGGGCACCACGATTGCCCTGCCTTACACTGCTGAAGTCCCGGCTCAGCTCCTTTGGTGAAAAGGCATCAAGAACCTTGATAGCGGGCATCATAGTATTTATGTCTATGAGCACCCAATTTAAACTGGAACACTACAATCAGCCCACACATTTATTTTAAAGCGATGAAAAATTCCAGCGGCACTTAAAATGGCCCCTAAAGCTGTATTTTAACGGGGAACCGAATTAAGCACGACTCCCCCACCCCCCTTTAAGGCTCCAAGGGCCCTACGGGTCCCGAAGGTCCTTTTTTGGTCAATTGGGGGGGAAGATCAAAAGCCCGATTAAAGGGTCCGAAGGGCAGTCCAGAGGTCGTATGGAGGGATCACACCATGTCGGAGTGATCGGAAGCAGTAAACTCCACGGTAACTAAATCGTCACACATGTACACTGCGAAAATTCTAGAAACCTGGAGAAACCCTCTTACTTTGCGAGCTCCTTGGATTTCAGGATTCTGTCTACAAAAATCCTTGTATTCCGGCCATTGAGTTTTAACATTCTTATGTGTGTAGTTTGTATACGGGAACCTGGCTTACTGCGCACAGCCCCAGAAAACTAGGCGTGCTTTGTGTGCAAATACATGGAGCTTGTTCATCTTCGTCGGATCATGGTAGATTCTGTCATTTTAATGCTAAGTATTTCGAAGAAAATATGGCAGCATACACTTAAATCGGCTGCTGAATGCCATCAAAATCAGGCACAAGCCTGATTCCTGGCTTATGCACGGTTAGCAGGGTAGTTGATGAGATCAGCTGATGGCTGAGGACTAATACAGAGTTTTTGCTTTGTCTGTTACAAGGGAATACAGAATATCCTTTCCATAAAAAATATATTCAAACGTAATGTACAGGTTTCATAATCGTCACAAATTCAATAAACAATGGAAATTAGATGCACGACGTCAGCTGCGTGTAAAATCATGTTCGACAATGACAATAACGAATTCATCGGCGTAATCGCCATAGCCGCAATTTCAGTCATCAGTCGGTAAGAAGTAAAGCGTCAATCAAAATTATTAAGATTTAGGTCCCCGTCAGTGGCGTAGGCCCTCTTATAATATGGAAAAACCCGAGACTAATAAGGACGGCACCTGAGCAATCGAAACTGCCGTGGGAGGGCAACAAAGAAGCTCCAATGAACAGTGAAGGGTCCTCATAGCAAGCGAGAAGAACCTAACACCAATATGGTGGGACCCTTGAACGATCGAGAGCACCCCAGCAGGCTAACATGTAGGGTCCGGCCGGAGTACAAGATCCCCTGAACAAAGGGCACTAGCCGACGATCAGTGTACATGAATTAACGCCCCTGTGTAATCAAGAGTGCCCGGGTAGGCTAACAGAGGGAGCTCTGACAAGTGAGGGGTCCTCAGCAAATAAGCTCAAAAAGAGAAAGAGCCATAGGCCAATGAAGAGGGCTCCTTAGGATCGAGTGCCTCGGAGCGCTACCTTATATGGGGCACCAGCAACAGCACGGGGTTCTCCAAGCAAGTGGAAAGAACTTGATGTAAAGAATCCGATCCCAATATGAAGGGCCCCTGAGCAACCGAGTGTACCCAGGGATTTGGGGCCCCGGCAGCAGCGGCGGGGCGGGAGAGCCCGCTTACCCCGCGGACGCAGCGGCGCTCGCCGAGCCCACGCCACCCGACATGTCTCCGGCCGCGCCGTCGCCCGGCGCGTCTGCGCCCAGTCCGCCAGTGAGCCCCGGGACGCGGCCGCGCCCAGGCCGGACACGGCTGCCAGGTGTCTTGGTAATTTATGGTAACCCAGGGCAAGAGAACACTGGGTACTCCAAAGTTTTGACTAGTAGGTGTCGACACATACTATAAGTAAACCAGAATCTTGATTAACACCGGATTTAGTATGTTATACCAAAATTTGGCAGTGCTGTACTAACCATGCGTGACTGCACACCTCATGTGATCATCAGCGGAATGCCAGGTTGACTGTACCATGTGTTGACAAGAAGGAAAGAGCGGCAGGATTCCAAGATACGTCTGTAGTATTATCCAGCGGGACTAATCCAAACTAGCCTGGTTTCCATGGATACTGGACGTTTTGAACACTGGACATTGCGTCTCTAGACTGCAACTCTGGACGTTGCGTCCCTGGACCTTGTGAACACCCCTAATGGGCACGGAATTGGACGCCTTCCGGACGCCATGAACGCTGGATGCTGCGATGCTGCACGATATGAACACTGAACGCTGCGATCCTGGACGTTTTAATGACTCCCCAAAGATGAACAGTGATTTGGCGATCAATTCATAGCAACGGTACAGATGCATTAATTTTTGCATGCAACTGCATTTGCAGTCACAAATTAAGTCACAGTCACACATTCACAGTCACATTTGCAGTTGCAGTCACAAAGTAAGCAACTACTGTGCACATCACATCACACATCACATCACATGGTACGAATATCAGGACTACAGCACTGCAGGCAAGGATAAGTCGACAGCACAGTATTGACATTCTTAACGGTCATTGGAAGGTTTTGGTAACATATTAATGACGCTGTCTGAGTTTTCACAGAGTATCGTGCGTAGACATTATTAATCTGCCCTAAAAGCTGGCGATCGCTACGCTGCGTATGCCAAACGGTCCTCCAAAGCGTCTGTTACGACCAGTGCCAAGACAAAACATCCACAAACAAGTCATTCACTAATCCGCCACCCAACACAGCGACCGCAACGGGAATGGCCGGTTGGCGTCAGCTTTCGTGCGTTTCGAGGCATTTTTTGGATTTGGCTGGCAGATGCTGCCAGGTATTGTTGTCGTCACAAAACCATTCTGTAACGCCACCAAACGATGAGGACATAGGGCGCACTCTTACAACTTTGATTTATAGCTTTAAATTTTGCTGCTTAGCATCGTTTTTGAAGTTTAAAAGCTCACCAACAGCTACAAGTAAGCTTTTTCCATCATATCTGATGCTTATCCCAGTATCTTCAAATATGGCGCATTTCCTTTTAGAAGGACACGGTTGCGAACTACACAGAAGAGCTTTACCATGGCTATTTTACTTCAAAACTGCATGCAAATGTCGAACAATGCATTTAAGTAGAGGTAGCAGTGGTATAACGTGTTGCAATGCATGTTATTACGGGTAATAGTGTTTGAAGTCTGACTTTTGAGGAGTAACACTAATGTCGGATATACGTACTGGCAGTAGACGTAATGTGGAAGCACTCCCGTCAGTAGGAATTCTTGACATATTATAAATATCATGGATCCTTTTCTCACACCTCGAAGGTGACTGCCGTTTCGTGCAGGAAAGAAATATCACATGACTGATGTTTGCCTTGCCAATATATTTGGTGTTTCACAACATTGAACAATGGAAGGACCATTTAAGCCAGTTACACAATAAATACATTCCAAAACAAGCAGAGTAATATCCTAAAACTCAGAGCTTAGTTGCTATACTTCTGGACGGGGCGGTAGGCGTAGATGGGCTCCTGCTCTGGCTCCTGGTACGCGGGAGCGGGCTTGTAGACGGGGGCGGCCTTGTAGACGGGAGCAGGGGCGGCCTTGTATCCGGGCTCCTCCGGATACTGGGCCTCGCCCTCATACGTGACTTCAGCGTTGTAACCAGCGTAGTCGTCGACCGTGTACTTGACCGTCTGCACGCGGCCGTCGGGCAGGGCCACCGTGTAGTAGCCGGACGTCTGCTTGCCGTCGCTGTTCTCGTTGGCGGCGAACTTGGAGCCCGACTCGTAGTCGCTGACCGAGTAGTCGAAGGCGTAGGGCGAGGGCTCGAACTCGGGCTCCTTGTAGGCAGCGGGGGCGTGGTAGGCGGCGGGGGCATGGTAGGCAGACGGAGCCGGGTAGGCAGACGGGGCGTCGCTGGCGGTAGCGACGGCCAGGAGGGCGGCAACAATGAAGACCTTCATTCTGACGGAGGGTTGTGTGCGTGTGACTGGACGGTTAGCTGTTGGCTGATGTGAAGATGCCGAACACTTTCCCTTTTATATCGTTCTGGAGCGGCGCAAGGCCTTGGTAAGAACCGGGCTGCTGGCCGTGTTCAGTGTGAGTAGTCTCGGCGGGCGGGGTCAGTGTCCGGCGGCTGCGATCTGCCGCATCTCGGCTATGGCCACCGTTTTTCATGTGTATGAAGGTAGTCGTAGCGACATTTTGTTCCTTTTTGGAGTAAGACGCGAAATCTTTGCGCACGCGCAATGAGGTGTGTCGCAAACACCACAAGCACGCATTATTTGTTTGGAGGTCCGATTATGACCAAAATTTACCTCCAATGTATGAGGAGGCACTGAAAAAGTGGCGGGTGTAAAAGTGGATAAAGTGGCGGGTGTCAAGTTGATAAAGTAGCGGCGTAAAATAAAGGTGGTGTGAGGTAAAATAAAGTGGCGTCAGCGGCGTTATGGCAGTGCATGCTCGTAACTTTAGATGTGCTAATGTCGGCACCGAAATTTACAGTTCAGAATGCCTTAAAATGTAGGACGTCAAGGTCTTTCGTACATACCTAGAGCTGTATGGTTCTGAAACGTGTCAGTTGAAATCTAGCTTGAACCGTTGGACTGGATGATTTTTTAACTTGAAACATACCTAAAATATGTTTAGGAGCCATGGTGTCTTCTAGCGTGGTTACTCACCCTGAACGCACCTGCTTTGTGAGGGATATCATAGTGCGTACCGGGCTAACTTTTAAGAATTTCCAAAAGTTCATCTTCTAATTAATGACAGTTCCAGGATTATTTTGCCAGAGAGCATAATTTTCATAGGCTGGTCGTGACTGTGGTGGTTTGTGCTCCACACCGAGAGACATTCGATGAACATGGAGGGACCAAGGCGCACCTAAGTACAAAGACCGAATGAAATGATGTGTTGGGTAGCATTTCCCGCAAGATATTTGACGTCATCTTTATAACCTGGTCAGTACTTAATTCACCTTTTTCGGATGAGTTGGTCTGAAGTGCTCCCAGGATATTTAGAAAACTAGGAGCGGTACAGCTAAGTGGTAAAGAGCAGCGGATGCTTGTGGGAAGCTTCCTCAATATAGTGTTATTAACATCAGTCCAAGTCACGTGTGATATAGTTAAAAGTGGTTTAAGCACGTTAAACACTACGGTGGTGACGCCAACTTTACCTATTCCACGGTTGAAGCAAACTCCTGAACGGTGCGGTGTAGCCATTCTACACCTTGTATCGTAGGAGGCAATTTAACATTCAGCTCAGAGGTCCTCAAAGATGCGGACATGGGCGCAGTCAGTGACCGGCGGCTGTTTTCTCCGGCATCTGGGGCATGGCCATTGGCACAGTCAATTTCGTCGGGTGTAGGTAAGTAGTAACCAAGTTGCCGCCTTTTTGGAACTAGACGCGACGCGTTTTGGTCCCACGTTATGAGGTAACTCACAAACACGAGAAGTACGCATCAGGTGTTTGGAGCTCCCATTTTCACCACGTTGTAATGTAGAAGTAATGTAGCATTCCTGTCGGTATAAGTTTTTGCCGCATCACAAATATCGTAGAACCCTATTTGTTCGCTCGTCGAAGATGGCTATTATCTGGTGCAGGAAAGAAGTAAAACAAGCTGGATATGCTTGCAATGTCAATGTGTTTGGTGCCTCACGACATCGGACAATGGAGCTTTTAAACCAGCCACAGAGTCTGGAAACAGAGTAATATCCTAAAGCGCAGATCTTAGTTCTTGTACTTCTGGATGGTATGGTAGGCGTAGATGGGCTCCTGCTCGGGCTCCTGGTACACGGGAGCGGGCTTGTAGACGGGAGCAGCCTTGTAGACGGGAGTAAGGGCAGCCTGGTGCTCGGGCTTCTCGGGATACTGGGCCTCGCCCTCGTACGTGACCTCAGCGTTGTAGCCAGCGTAGTCGTCGACCGCGTACTGGACCGTCTGGACGCGGCCGTCAGGCAGGGTCACTGTGTAGTAACCGGACGTCTGTTTGCCGTCGCTGCTCTCGTTGGCGGCGAACTTGGAGCCCGACTCGTAGTCGCTGACCGAGCAGTCGAAAGCATATGGCGAGTTCTCGAACTCGGGCACCTTGTAGGCGGCGGGGGCGTGGTAGGCAGACGGGGCCCGATAGGCAAACGGGGCGTCGCTGGCGGCAGCGACGGCCAGGAGGGCGGCAACAATGAAGACCTTCATTCTGAAGGAGGGTGGTGTGTGTGACTGGATGGGCAGCTGTTGACTGATGCCAAGACGTCGAACATTTTCTACCGATTTCGCGCCATGCATGGCCTTGCCATGGTCGTGCGACCAAGTTGTTCTAAGCGGACATTTACGGAAACAACACGAGTTAACGAATGAAAGCGAGGTCAGTGTCTGCCACCATAGCTACAAATTGTTGTTGTTAGACGTGACGTTGACAACCACATTTAAATTGTTGCAGGCCGTTGTGATTTTTCGCTGTCGATTTTTTAACCGGTATCGTCTACTGCCCTGTCTACATGTGCAGCTTGGTTTTTAATTAAAGGGAATTGTCCACATTTATAGATATCGAGGTAAGCATCCGATATGATGGGGGAAAAGTCTACTTGTAGCTATTGGCAATCTTTTAAGGTTCAAAAACGACCCTGAATTTGTAACTTTCGAGGGTTGTAAAATGCGCCCCGTTACGCCATCGTTTTGTGACGAGAGCAAAAATTGGCAGCATCTGGCAGCCAGACCTAAAGAATTCCTCGAAACGCACGAAAGCTGACGCCAGTCGGCTATTCTCGCCGCGGGCACTGTGGCGGGGGGCCGATTAGTGGGTGCTTTGTTTGTGAATTTTTCGTCTTGGTACTGGTTGTGAGAAAAGCTTTGGTGGACTGTTTGGCATGCACGACCTATGCGACATAGCGATCGCAAGCTTTTATGGCAGATTATTGATATGAAAGCGCGACGTGCTGTGAAGACTGTCATACACTGTCATGAATCTCTTACCAAAACCTGCTAAGGACTGTTGAGAATGCCAATAGAGCATTGTCGACCTATCCTTGCCTGCAGTGCTGTCATCCCGACATTGATGCCATGTGATGTGCACAGAAGTTACTTTCTTTATCGATTGTAGGTGGAAATGCAGTTGCATGCAAGTATTAATACATCTGTAACATGGCTATGACTTGATTGCCAAAGCATTATTAATGCCATGTTAAAGATGGCAAGGCTGAGCTACCAATAACATTTTTCTTGCTCAGGATTATTTATGCAACTACCAGTTAACCCTGATGTAACCATTGTGGTGCAACAATATTCTCGCTGGTGATAGTTCTTTGGCGTTGTTTAATTAGTTGCTACCATTCATTCTTAACTTATAAACTGGCTTAACATCGAGTAGTCAACCAATATGGTACATTGTGTAATGGCACGGGTCATTACGTCATTGCGTCAACAGCGTCATTGTGGCACTTCCTCAGTGCTGTACTGTGACATGGAATAATGAAGAATAGGATGCTTTTGTACTGCAATCCCTGCTGCTCTCATAATAAAGGCTATCATGAAGAGATGGGTCAGGCGTGCATTCTTGTACTAACTCCCTATCTGACATATGGCTGTCCAAAAACGCATGATACAATATACAAATCACTTTCAGCAAAGCAGACAGATGAAATAAGTGACATCACTTGCTCAGCCTGTTTTGGAAATCCACATAACATAAGTGACAAAGATGCAAACATGCCTTCCTTGTTCATAGTCACACAGCATGCCGCAGCCATCAGGGTGCTTCACTAAAAAATGACAAAAAAATAATACATGCACTGGAATGACACTGCAAACATGCTGACCTTGCACAAGGCTGGAGACATGACAAGTGCATGTAGTTATGCTTAGATGAGCAAAATGTAAGGAAGTGATCAAGCTGTCAGTGCACACAAGGCTCATTATAAAAATATTATCGAGTGCTATCCAAGACACCAACAGCAAAACCTCTCCACCTTCCTCAGCACCCAAGATCTCACGAAAGTTGCGATGGCTAGGACATTGATGGCTCACACGCACTGCTTGCCCGAATACAAAATTTGTTGAGACAGTAGTATGTGCATCAATAATAATACAGCACTATATCTTCAGATCTTTTAGGGAAAGAGTTTGGCGTACCCGTATCATGTGAACTTATGCCAACCATGTGTGCTTATGAGCGGCGAACGCCAGCTCCTGTGCCAAAATGAATTACAAATACATTGACATGCAATGGATTAATTACATGCTGGAATACCTCAGTAGGTTCAAGGCAGGGAGCAACCATCGCTTTTGAACTAGGGCGGGAGTGAAAAATTGCATGCAAAAAGACCGCGCGGGAGTGAACAAATCCATTCACAAAAGACGGAACTTATGAGCTCGTGACGGATGCTTCAGCAAACAAAGACATCTATTTCAAGTTGGCATGGGCGTAATATCAGGAACCTGCCAAAACGATTTCGTTTTTAACATCTTAGGCCATTAAAGTGAAACAGAAAACATTAGCACGTGCTCGGATGGGGGGCAAATTGACCGTTCCCCGAGGGCTTTTCCCAAATGGTTTTTGAACAGCGCGGCGTAGCCGCGCCACATTTTGCATAGCTGTAGAAAATTGCATAGCGGATCGTTTAACATGCCAATTTTAGATGTACCTTGCGACGTCGCTGACCTATGACAGGTCAAAGTCATCCCATGTTTTCAGCGAAGGCAATTTCTAGGGAATCGTTAAATCTGGTACGACAACGGAGTGTTTGACGAAGACATAAACATCTGAGATGCTTTCTTAGGCACCACAAATACTGAATGAGCAAATTGCGTTGACCTAAGGTCAGGTATGATGGTCAGATCAAGGTCAAAACCAACCTGATTTATTTCTCTAGGGGTTGCTGTATGGGATAGTTTCTGGGGCTCATTTTGAATTTATTGACAGCAGGAACCGCGTCATACATTTTCAGTTGACTTCTTAGGGGTCAGGACAGGTCA